GGAAGGTTATACACTGCCTTTTTTTGAGGCCCGAAAAAAAAATTGTCTCAGATCGACCCGGAAAAAAAATTGTCTTATAGAATGTGGCCTGTAGAATCCATAATTTCAAACAGTTCCAAGATTGGGCTACTAGTTCAAAAGTTACAGCCCTTTGAATTTTCTTTTGAAATTGGTTTCTACTCTATAACTTTTGATTAAGAAGTCTGATCGAAAAAGTACGAATTGTTTTGGATTCTACGCACCAAAATTAATAAGAAAAAGTGTTTTCCCGAGAAATTTTGGTGCAGTCGAATTTTGGTAAAAAATGAAGGTTATAACCTGCCTTTTTTTGAGGCTCGAAGAAAAAAATGTCTCAGATCCACCGGGAAAAAACATTTTCTTATAGAATGTGGCCTGTGGAATCCATAATTTCAAACAGTTCCAAGATCGGGCTACTAGATCAAAAGTTACAGCCCTTTGAATTTTTTGTCGAAATTGGTTTTTTGCCCATAACTTTTGATTGAGACGTCTAATCGAAAAAGTACGAAACGTTTTGGATTGTACGCACCAAAATTAATAAGAAAAAGTTTTTTCCCGAGAAATTTTGGCGCAGTCGATTTTAGGTAAAAAAGGAAGGTTATACACTGCGTTTTTTTGAGGCTCGAACAAAAAATTGTCTCAGATCGACCGGGAAAAAACATTTTCTTATAGAATGTGCCCTGTAGAATCCATAATTTCAAACAGTTCCAAGATCGGGCCACTAAATCAAAAGTTACAGCCCTTTGAATTTTTTGTCGAAATTAGTTTTTTGCCCATAACTTTCGATTGAGACGTCTAATCGAAAAAGTACGAAACGTTTTGGATTCTACGCACCAAAATTAATAAAAAAAGTTTTTTCCCGAGAAATTTTGGTGCAGTCGATTTTTGGTAAAAAAGGAAGCATTTTTTTGGGGCCCGAAAAAAAAATTGTCTCAGATCGACCGGGAAAAAAACATTTTCTTATAGAATGTGGCCTGTGGAATCCATAATTTCAAACAGTTCCAAGATCGGGCTACTAGATCAAAAGTTACAGCCCTTTGAATTTTTTGTCGAAATTGGTTTTTTGCCCATAACTTTTGATTGAGACGTCTAATCGAAAAAGTACGAAACGTTTTGGATTGTACGCACCAAAATTAATAAGAAAAAGTTTTTTCCCGAGAAATTTTGGCGCAGTCGATTTTTAGGTAAAAAAGGAAGGTTATACACTGCCTTTTTTTGAGGCTCGAACAAAAAATTGTCTCAGATCGACCGGGAAAAAACATTTTCTTATAGAATGTGCCCTGTAGAATCCATAATTTCAAACAGTTCCAAGATCGGGCCTCTAGATCAAAAGTTACAGCCCTTTGAATTTTTTGTCGAGATTGGTTTTTTGCCCATAACTTTTGATTGAGACGTCTAATCGAAAAAGTACGAAACGTTTTGGATTCTACGCACCAAAATTAATAAGAAAAAGTTTTTTTCCGAGAAATTTTGGCGCATTCGATTTTTGGTAAAAAAGGAAGGTTATACACTACCTTTTTTTGAGGCTCGAACAAAAAATTGTCTCAGATCGACCGGGAAAAAACATTTTCTTATAGAATCCATAATTTCAAACAGTTCCAAGATCGGGCCACTAAATCAAAAGTTACAGCCCTTTGAATTTTTTGTCGAAATTGGTTTTTTGCCCATAACTTTTGATTGAGACGTCTAATCGAAAAAGTACGAAACGTTTTGGATTCTACGCACCAAAATTAATAAGAAAAAGTTTTTTTCCGAGAAATTTTGGCGCATTCGATTTTTGGTAAAAAAGGAAGGTTATACACTACCTTTTTTTGAGGCTCGAACAAAAAATTGTCTCAGATCGACCGGGAAAAAACATTTTCTTATAGAATGTGCCCTGTAGAATCCATAATTTCAAACAGTTCCAAGATCGGGCCACTAAATCAAAAGTTACAGCCCTTTGAATTTTTTGTCGAAATTGGTTTTTTGCCCATAACTTTTGATTGAGACGTCTAATCGAAAAAGTACGAAACGTTTTGGATTCTACGCACCAAAATTAATAAGAAAAAGTTTTTTCCCGAGAAATTTTGGCGCAGTCGATTTTTGGTAAAAAAGGAAGGTTATACACTGCCTTTTTTTGAGGCTCGAACAAAAAATTGTCTCAGATCGACCGGGAAAAAACATTTTCTTATAGAATGTGCCCTGTAGAATCCATAATTTCAAACAGTTCCAAGGTCGGGCCACTAAATCAAAAGTTACAGCCCTTTGAATTTTTTGTCGAAATTGGTTTTTTGCCCATAACTTTTGATTGAGACGTCTAATCGAAAAAGTACGAAACGTTTTGGATTCTACGCACCAAAATTAATAAGAAAAAGTTTTTTTCCGAGAAATTTTGGCGCATTCGATTTTTGGTAAAAAAGGAAGGTTATACACTACCTTTTTTTGAGGCTCGAACAAAAAATTGTCTCAGATCGACCGGGAAACAACATTTTCTTATAGAATGTGCCCTGTATTTCAAACAGTTCCAAGATCGGGCCACTAAATCAAAAGTTACAGCCCTTTGAATTTTTTGTCGAAATTGGTTTTTTGCCCATAACTTTTGATTGAGACGTCTAATCGAAAAAGTACCAATCGTTTTGGATTCTACGCACCCAAATTAATAAGAAAAAGTTTTTTTCCTGAGAAATTTTGGTGCAGTCGATTTTTGGTAAAAAAGGAAGGTAATAACTGCCTTTTTTTTGCCCAGAAAAAAAAATTGTCTCAGATCGACCGGAAAAAATATTTTCTTATAGAATGTGGCCTGTAGAATCCATAATTCCAAACAGTTCCAAGATCGGACTACTAGATCAAAAGTTACAGCCCTTTGAATTTTTTGTCGAAATTGGTTTTTTGCCCATAACTTTTGATTGAGACGTCTAATCGAAAAAGTACGAAATTTTGGTGTAGTCGATTTTTGGTAAAAAAGGAAGGTTATACACTGCCTTTACCGGGCCTTTAAACTACAATTGCTCTACAGGATCTTGCAAGACTCCGTACATTTTGAACTGCCTTTTAAAGAATAATAAGTGCGACGTTGCTGTTAATCGCATAAATTCAAATGAAATTTTTCAAAGAAGTTGCGTACGTGGCGACATCTTTAGGTGAGAAATTTACTAAAGACTAAAAGTGCCTATCACGTTTACGGTTACATTTTCTTTTTACTTCTTTTTTTGTTAGTGTACGAGAACTCTGTGCTTATGTCTTGGTAATTTTGTTACGTTGGCTACGTAATTTTAAAGTTCACTTAGAAAGTCAAAATTTTAAATCAAAGAAGGGAAGTTCACCCCCCTCTCTGTGCAACACTGTTGGATAATTAAGGTTTTACTTGTAGCTGATTCCAGTTTACTTGATAAAATGTAGTTTTATTCTACATTGACACCATTGAAATAATTATAGGTAATTTTATCGTGAAAATGAGACATTTTGGCCGCCTATTGGGCGACACAGGAAAGAAATCGGCATAAGTACATACAATTTTATTGGAAATGGTTAAAATAATACACTGTCAAAACTATTGCCTTTATTTACGAAATTACAATAGAACTCTTTAATAGTCCATTATATTCATGCATATCAACAGCTCGACAATAGCTTGTAAATTATGAATTGATTGGGAGTAGGATTGGTATAATGTGGGGGGAGGGCGGCAGATCTATCAGGGTCTATAGATCCTGGAAATGTCAGCTTTCTCAAGGCAAACAAAACTTTGTCTAAAGTTGCTGTGTGTGGTTATTTAAAGCTGTTCGCTGTGAATATTGAGGACACTGGTTCTGGATTGGTGCCCCCTAGGAAACGGATTGGAAAATCAACCACAAGTTTGTAGGTATATAAACACATAATTATGGTATGTTAGCTTGATGCCACCAAAGAGTGCCCACTCTTTGATGCCACTCACATGAAGCTCGCTTCCTCTAGAGTTAGGCACTGTCACTGTTGCTCGTTGGGAACACAGATGAAAGGATGTTTTCTCTCTTCCCCCTTTTTGGTCCCTAGTATTTATAGAAGCAGGAAATTCTTTCATTTACTATTATAGTCTCGTCAATGCATAAAAGAGGAAATCTTCGGAGGTCTTCAAGAAGAATTTTGTATTTTTATTATTAGGTATACTATCACAGATTTAAACACTCATCTGTGGTACTATTTAAAATCAGAAACCCTGAAGGGAGAGAGGGGTGATAATTTATTATTTGTTTTGTTTAAACAAATACGAGTATGTATCTTTTTTATATAGCGCATTTTTAAGGATTAAACAAATGTGCTATTGTTTGTGTTTTGCCATAAAATTTTGTTGACTTAAGGTAGCCCCCATGAATTATTTTCTGGGATGCTGTTTCTGAAAGCCAAACGTCATACCTTGTACAAAACTTATGAAAATTGTGTGTGTGTGTGGGGGGGGGGATAAACTTGTAACCATTCTACGAGATTATCTGACTAAGTTGAATAAGAATCAAATTCCGAAGTGTTTATTTATAATACGAAGTTGTATTGCGAAATTCAATTCAAGTAACCTGTAACGCATGCTTTTTTTAAATTAAATTTTCGCCACCTTCTGATTTTTCTTAAGTAATTAATCCCGTTTATATTGCATCAAGCCGTTAACAGATTCAGGTAGGTAACGATTGTTCATTTTCATTGTACACAGGTGTATGTAGGTAAGTACCTACTCTAGAAAGGAAAATCCATTAGATTCATTAACTTCCACATTGACTTACCTATTTGCTTTCATAATTAATTTTAGGTCCCTTACATTTACATTAAATTACCTAGAACCTACCAAAGACTACTTAATAATTACTCTTTGCTAGTATCTACCTTAAATTATTATATCCATTGGTACAAGTAGGTACGGATTAATTTCGTTAGAGACAATGAGATAACTTAACTTAAGATATTCTCAGAATACGTTAATTATGTATATTTATGCAGAAAGGTGTATACGTTTTATTGTTAGTTTCCAACTGTGAATAGAGGTATACTTGAATGGCAAAGATTGCCTAACTTTAATCGAATATTTGTATAAACTCAAGTTAAATTTAGTTATGTTTTGATGTATGTCCACCTGATTATGAGGTCAGAGTTTTCTAATGACGTGCCCTTGAATTCAACTTAACATAAACAAACAAGCAACCCACTGGTTTTTGTTAAATAAAAGACGTCACTTTTGCAGAAATTTAGACATAGCAATAAAAGCGAAACTTTCTACCCTTGACCATTTAGTCTAATAGTGTCTTTTGTGTTAGAAATTGTGAAGCACCAGGGGATAAAACTAAGTAAGTGATTTTGCTTTAAATGACGAAATTGTTTTTATTTGGTAAACAGGGAACATAATTTAGGTTACAGTAGTTCAATTTTTCGATAATTGTACTGCCAGGGAAACAAAAAACCATAAACTGAAAACATGCAATTTAACCATTTTTGAAAGCATATCAAGTACCTAATCGTTATTTACAGGTGGAATGAATTCCAAATCCCTAAAAATACCCTTTATCGTTGGGGCCATTTTAATTTTAAGTGGCCCAGTTCTTAACGCTCCAATGGAAAGCGACCAATCCCTCGTTGTCAGCAGTACAGTTCCATCGCTACCTAACGTCTCTGGTAAAGAGGTAAGTTCAGCTTCCTGTTACTTGTTATTTCTTGGGCAAAAACCAACATTTAAAAGCATTCACGGAGATCGAAAATCGAAACAAGTTTCCGAGTAAATTTTGAAAAATGCCACTTTAATTCTTGTATTTAAAATTTCAGAACAAACCAATCGAAAGCGTTCCTCAAATTTACCAAATGCGTGTGAGATCAGAAATTGGCAATCGTTTCGCGCACACCACGGTGACAAGTAGGGTGCGAAATTATGCCAGTGAACCACGCGAGGCTGTATTTTCGCTTATTCTGCCCGAATCTGCATTCATTTCTGGATTTATAATGGAAATCGATGGCAAGAACTACACTGCTTTGGTGAAAGAAAAAGAAGAAGCCCAGCGGGACTATGAGCAGGTGATCTTCGAACTTATTGGTTCATAGTTACACCGTTTTTCCTAAAACAGGCGATATCTAGTGGCTTGGGAGCAGGACACGTAGCAGTAACCGCTCGTGACTCCAACCGATTCACCGTTTCCGTAAACATCGAACGCGAGGCAAAGGCCGCCTTTTACTTAACGTACGAACAACTCTTGAAGAGACAAGATGGCCATTATGAGCAAATTATCAATATTCATCCAGCGCAACCTGTGAAAGATCTACACGTAGAAGTCTTAATTGCCGAAAGTCGAAAATTGGTTGACTTGAAAGCCCCGCCACTTCGGACTGGTAATAAGATTGGTACTGACAAGGTTGAGTTGGACCCGCGAGCCGATATCACCATTGTCAACGATACGTCCGCGATTGTCACATTCACTCCAAATGTGGAACGCCAGAAGCAATTCGCACATTTATTGGGAACCAAAGAGGAGAATGGACTTTCTGGACAGTTCGTCGTGCAGTACGATGTGGAAAGGGACCCAACCGGAGGAGAAGTTTTAATTCGAGATGGATACTTCGTCCATTTTTTCGCCCCTACAGAATTAGCACCTCTACCTAAACAAGTTGTGTTTGTTCTAGACACTAGCGGCAGCATGTCAGGGCAGAAGATAGAGCAAATGAAGCAAGCCATGCATAACATTTTGGATCAGCTCAACGAACAAGATACATTGAGCTTGGTGGAATTTAATAGTTACACCAAAGTATGGGACATTGACAATGCGGAAAAAAGCGTATGGTATCCATACACAGATGTCCCTTATTATTGCAGTAACGAGTATCAGAACCTCAGGGTATTAAAGGTGGGTAATGCGCGATATTCTTACCTCCTGCACTTGCATCTTTTGTAGATGGCAAAATTCCCTCGCGCTTATCCGGCTAATGCCAAAAACATTAAAAATGCCAAACTCGCAATATCGGCTTTCAAAGCGGGAGGCAGCACTGGAATATTTGGAGCGTTACAAGTCGCATTGCGACTGGTAGAAATAGAAAGAGTCGTACCGCATGTAAACGATACAACTAAGCGTCAGCCCTTGGTGATGTTTTTAACTGACGGTCAGCCGACTGATATGTCAACCAACAGTATCATAACTGGGATCACAGAGTTCAATACTTACACAAAAAGATCGCCCATTTTCGCGCTTTCATTTGGGGATGATGTCGATAAGGAATTTCTACAAAAATTGGCAGGTCAAAATGCGGGATTCTCTAGACATATTTATGATGAGGCCGATGCGTCACTACAACTGGAAGGTTTCTACCGCCAAATTTCATCGCCTTTACTTTCTGATGTCACTTTCAAGTACGAACCCTCGACTACGAGCCTCACAAACTCAAACTTCCCCATTCACTTCGGCGGTTCTGAAATTGTGATTGCGGGTTTTTGCGGTACAGAAGCGCCGCCGCTTCCTGTTGTTCATGGGGTTGGCACGCAAGGTTCCATTTCTCTCGAACCTACTGTTACTTCAAGCGTTTCGAATACGGAAAGATTATGGGCGTATCTCTCGATCAAGCAATTGTTAGAGAAGGAAGGAGCTTCTGATGGTGTTTACGGTGCCAATTTAAAACAGCAGGCTTTAGATCTTGCATTGAAGTACAATTTTGTAACACCTGTTAGTTCTTTGGTTGTAGTAAAACCGAATGGCACCGAGGAAGTTGGCGCAAATGAAGGTGATCGGATCGACATCGACAAACTTGAACCAAGTAAGTATAATGGTCTATCCGAAAATGCACTTTAGTCTTACTCACTTAGCAACCCTTCCGCCTCCTCGAACAACACCCTTTTGTTTCATTCCCACTGTCCCGACGGATGAATTGGACACGATCTTAGGCTCTCTGCCTTGGTTAGGCATATTACTGGAGGACAACCAATTTGTAGTGACTCCAAAAGGTAAGTTTTACGTATGCGAAACCAAGCACAAAACTATCTGTTATTTAGGAAACTTCAAGTTAGGTTTAAACGAAACCATCTCAGGCATGACTCCCTGTCCCAAGACACCCCTAGGTCAGGAAGGTTATTGTGCACTGCTCCACGAATGTCCTCACGCACATTCCGCCTTGGAGACATCGCTAAACTTCTTCGATCATTTTTGCATCTTAAAGAACGAGTAAGAATTTTGCATTTAGTAATGGTTGAGCTAAGTCTCTTTTTTTAGGTTTGCTGGGGTTTGCTGCCCACTATCCTAATTAATATCGTTTTTTGTACCTTATTGATTAACTAATTAAATAATTTGCCAACGATGAATTCGATCTGTTTGCCATAAGCATAAAAAAGAAGCTAAACAACTATAAATTGTGCATCAGTTAAAGCGCATTTTTTAAACCGAAGTATACGTTATAAGGTAGCAGCATGCTATATTTATCAATTTTTACCTTATTGGAAGATTATGGGAATCTTTACACATAAAAATTTAATGGCCGCCTGGCATACTTAAAAAAACTACGCTATATATTATCTAATGCATGAAAAATCAAGACCTTAGAGACATTTTCAACAGTAATATCCCAAGTGCTTAAAAATAGGCGATTAAATTTTGACGTTTTTGTCAAATGTTTGAAGTGACTCTCTATCTCGAACGCACAAATATTGTTGTGTAAACAGCGTCATGTAGACGTTATTTCGGTTTAAAAACCAAAAATAATGACGGGACACCCTGTATATGAGAAATATTTCAGTTTATTAACTGCAGATCGAGGGGGGGGGGAGGTATTTACGAATAAGCACAAAGTTGGTTGATTTTATTTGAATTTGTATTTCTGTGTTTGTTTATCTCTTTTAGAATTGTTTGTAAAATCGTAAATTATTTTGAAACAAAGTGTAGAGAAGAAGTTAATCGGCCATAACAAAAGATTTAAGTTATCGTCCAGTGAAGTTGTAAAAGTTTGTCGACAGTTTTTTTAATAAAAAACAGTTTGTCCGTATTTCGAAAAAGGTACCACGAGTGGGAGTCAACAAAGCAGTTGTCTGTTTAATGAATCTGAACGGTTTTTACCGTCCGATCAGCCACGGATAAATGTTTTTATCTATCTTATTTATCACGCTACTTTGAGTCATCGAGTCTAGTTGATTAAATCCTTCGTATTTTTACATCAGAAGTGGGATGTACCCAAATAATTAACTATTAGCCACCGAGACAATAAAATTAAAAAAAATGAAACTTGCTCGCGCCACGACAGTGCCGTTAAAAGTGAGGTCTGTGAGGTGGAGTGTGACGTATCTCCTTTGAGAAGACAGCAGCTGATTAATTTAGTGCAAGTGCAACAACAGTTAGCAGAAGTCGTAACTATAGTAGGGAACACTTCTCGTTTCCATTGGGTATCTCTAGTGCTAGTGAAAATTTCTCCTCAATTTCCCTTTTCAAACACGCCTCATATTGTATGATTCTTCACCTAGAGCTACAGCGATCATGGCTAATTCGTCGTCTGTAAAATTAGCCATTCTAAAAATTTTCAGAGAAAACTACTACAACTGAATAAGAGGAAAACTATGACGGATTTATATGAATAACCGTTTCATGTTTACTGAATGAGACTGAGACGGAACTCCAACGGAAATGAGACGTAACTGATAGACCGTTATTAGCGTTTTAACTTTTGAAATGGATTCTAACTGGTTGCTTCTATGGCAACGTGAAAATTCAACTTTTACCTTTTTTAAAAAGAAAAGGAACCACAAAGTACGATTCTTTAATGTGATCACAACGCCAATTAATATTTTTCTTTTATGAACCCAACTGGTCGCCTCGATTACTAAAACACAAATTTGCATTTAAAAACGGTTCTACTTTTGTTACTCATTAATTAACCACATCTACAAAATGGCTTCTTATGAAGTAAAATCGGACATATTTAAACGTTAATTTGTTTATGTAAATCCTGACTTACGAATCAAATTTGAGTTAGGGGGATAAATCATTCCCAAATATGCCCATTCTGCAAATTCCACGATACTGAATGCTATTAAGGTGAGCGTGAAAATGGAACTCAATTGTACCAATTAAAAAGGCGAAATACGATACAAACTGCATAGGTACTTTATGACTCTACCGACTTCCAGAAGCAATTAAGAAACAAAATGAGGCAAAAATAAATGCACTGCAGTTAATCAATTAATTGTTTCAACCACTATTTATCTGGGAAATAATTTAGAACCCCTAAATTTGATTACAACCTAAAAATGTTGATGGTGGTGGTCTAAAATTCTTAATCTCCAACTTCACAACCAAATTTCGAAAAAATTTAAAGACACATTTTACAGCTACCGTTACAACGTAGTTCCCAAGCAAAATTGTAACTGCTTCTATACCGTTACCGTAAAGCGATGACCAGATTAGGGCGACGAATTCTAAGGAGCTGAAATGTCACAAGCTATCTATAACATAAGCAACTGATAACGGCGTACTACTGTTATTTATATAGTTTTCTACGTGTTTGTTTTATCTGTCTTACCTGATCTTTGAAGCTTTTATTAGAGAGGTTTTTGTCCCCTTTTTTATGAAACAGGCTGTATATTTTAAATTAGTGGACAAAGTTGTGCAACCGCCTCTGAAAATGCCTAGAAAAAATACCACTTCTTCATTTGTTTTTCTATACAGTATCCTGTAATGTAAGGGTATAGGTAATATGTGAGAGTATGTTAATTTTGAAGACGTATTTTGGTATCGCTCCTGTAAAGACATCCAAAGTTGATTTTCAAAAGGGACTTTTTGAATGTAATTTTCAAAATTCTGTATTTTGGATCTTGTGAAAACATTGAACGATTTTTGAGCATCTGGTACGACCTTTTGTGTGAATTTTTAGCTAGCCCCTAAAACTGTTACACTGATGATCTACAAAAGCTCTTTGGAAATTAGAAGTCCTGCCGATTTTTCCAGAACTTTAACTAGGACAATAATGTCCCACCCATTCCCTTTCAAAATTAGGTTACTGAACTATTGTTAAGCCCCTGCAGATAACAATAAAAAAAACACATGCGCATAGAGTTTAATTTCAAGGAGACGTCTGTTCCCGTTAAGTAAGGAATTATGGTGATGGAATCAAGCGAAAAAGTACAATTTTTCAATATTTCTATATTTAAATTATTATTATTTAGTAAGTACATCAACAAAGCTGTTCATATTACGATTTAGTAGGTAGGTACTACCTTCCACATATGAAGCAACAGATAGTTTGTCATTGAAGATATATTCTTGAGTTTATTTATGCGTTTTTATTGATTAAATTTGTTTCAACCTACTTTAAATTTCCTCTTACATTCAGACGCCAAGTAACTTAAATCATCCCCAAAGGAGACTCTAAAAGTCTTGTTCCTGAATCCATACGATATCTGTGGTTCAATAAAAACGAAGCATACGAGCTCTTTATAGAAGAGACTAGGCTAGATTGATTGATAGATAAACCTAAACTTTCTATAAGGTTCAAGTAGATACGGGTGGTACGTTATAATATTGTAGCTTGTTGGGTTAAATGTCTAATTGGATGGTTTGCTCATTTAACAACTTTTGTGGTAGGCCAAGATTTTCTTAACTTTTAGAATCAAGATAGTGAATTAATTAAACTCTTCCGCAATTTGTTTCCTGCTCCGAAGATCAAAATTGTAAATTTTATTATTAACTTTCGCAAAAGAAAATTTCACCGAATATGCCGTCAATAAAACTTCTACTTGCTAACAATGCGACATCGCCAGTTCTTAATTTTAGTTTTCCTGTAGGTATTTACTTACTCTCAAATATTGAGAGAAATTTTCCGAGTAATTTACGTAACTCTAATGTTTATTACTTTACTATCGGGTTCTACGCAAATGAATATGTAGATTGGTGATAAATATGACTTGGAGAATATTTATACATCTAACTGAAATGTCCATGAAACTAATATTAAACAAAACAGGCAGGTGATTATTATATCATCAGGAGCCTTGCATATTCAATGACTAACAATTACAATGGTTTGTTTAGGTAACTTTTTACCAGTTGTTTATGTACTCCATCGCATGGAAAACGGATGTAACGTAAATAAAAAATCCCATCAGCTATTAAATAATTACGGGATAGAAGGTAATAAAGGCGAAAACGGACACCATGACCTAAAATGCGACAACTCGTCCTTCCATGATTATAGTTGTACGTGTGATTTTTGATTATGAGGTCAACGATATCATTTATATTTTTGTCGAAAGAAACGGAATTATTCCTGAGAGACGAATGGCCTTCGTTTTTGTGTAAATAGAAGACCAGTTTTGTATTTTAAAGCTTTCTTGGAGTTTACCGGTTTCTGAGATAATCATCGCATCAGTGACGCTCGTTTAGCAGAAGAGGTGAAAGAGAGGGAATCCCCCCTTAACGACAAATGTTTAAATAATACAAATGTCGAACGTATTATTTTGTTAGTGTTGGTGATGAGAGCGTGTAGATAACTTCTAATCATTTCATTAATTTCGTAAGTCTCTAATCAATCTTGTAACACTCGTGTTATGCGTGGCTTTCGTTATAGACAAGATGGCTTTTGAACTTCCCAAAATGCTCTTAATTTTTGGGATAGCTTTAATTATACCTGTCCTGACGGCCCCGGCAGATGGCGAGCAATCTATGGTTGTTAGCAGCACGGCTCCAACTACGCCAAAAGAGTCCGAAAAGGAGGTACTTAGTTTTTTGTACTTATTTTTTGAAATTCTGAATTGTGTTTTTAGGGAAAACCCGTTGAAAATGCACCAAGTGTTCCACAAATTTATCAAATGCACGTTAAATCGATTATCAACAACCGTTTTGCACATACAACTGTGACAAGTCGTGTGAGAAACTTTGGAGATAAAGCACAAGAGGCGGTATTTTCCATTGTGTTACCAGAATCTGGTTTCATATCTGGATTTATAATGGAAATAAATGGTAAAAACTACACCGCTTATGTTAAAGAAAAGGAAGAAGCCAAACGTGATTACGACAAGGTATTAGGTATATCAAAAACGCCTCTGCATGGTTTCATAAAAAAATTGTAGGCTGTTGCCAGTGGATTGGGAGCAGCTCACGTTGCAGTAAGCGCTCGGGACTCGAGCCGTTTTACTGTCTCTGTCAATATCGAACCAGAAGCAAAAGCCGCGTTTTATTTGACATACGAACAACTTCTCAAGCGGCAAGATAGCCATTATGAGCAAGTCATTAATATTCATCCGGGCCAACCTGTGAAAGACCTGAACGTGGAGGTCTTGATTTCGGAAAGCAGGAAAATTGTGGACTTGAAGGCCCCACCTCTACGTTCTGGGAACGAAATCGGCACGGACAAGCCTGAATTGGACCCTCGAGCGGATATTACCATCCACAATGATACGGCCGCGATGGTCACGTTTAGTCCAAATTTGGAGAGGCAAAAGGAATTGGCTCACGTATTGGGTACCAAAGAGGAGCAAGGTCTTTCTGGACAGTTTGTGGTGCAGTACGATGTTGAGAGGGATCCAAGTGGAGGCGAGGTCTTGGTCCAAGACGGTTACTTTGTACACTTCTTTGCGCCCACAGACCTGAAACCATTGCCTAAGCAAGTCGTATTTGTACTAGATACTAGTGGCAGCATGTGGGGGCAAAAGATAGAACAACTCAAACAAGCCATGTTAAACATTTTGGACCAGTTAAACGAACATGACACATTAAACTTGGTGGAATTTAACAGTAATACAAAAGTGTGGAACATACACGACCAAGAACAGAGCGTCTGGTACCCACATAAAAACACTTTCTACTATTACAATCAAGGTTCCGACAACCAGCAGCCTGTGGTAACCTTAGAAGTAGGTATAGGCTTTATATTAAGCACATTTTTATTTCGCCTGTTTCAGAACGCCACATTTCCACGCGCCTACCCCGCAAATGCAGACAACATCAAAAAGGCCAAAGACGCAATTGCAGCTCTCAAATCTGATGGCTCGACTGCGATGTTTGGTGCGTTACAGGTAGCTTTACGCCTGGTGGAACTGGAGCGTACTCAACCGTCCGAAAGTGACTCAATCAAACGCCAACCCATAGTCATATTTCTAACGGACGGTCAACCTACAGACTTATCAACCGATGAAATTATTACGCAAATTACGGAATTCAATTCTGAGGCGAAGAAATCGGCCATTTTCGCTTTAGCATTCGGAGATGGTGCCGATAAAGACTTCTTACAAAAGTTGGCTCTTCGAAATTCGGGATTTTCTAGGGTCATTTATGAGGGAGGCGACGCTTCACTGCAACTTCAAGGTTTCTACCGGCAAATTTCATCGCCATTGCTCTCCGACGTCACTTTCAAATACGAGCCTACAACGACCAGCCTTACCAAGACCAACTTCCCCATTCACTTCGGCGGTTCCGAAATTGTGGTAGCTGGTTTCTGCGGCACCAGATTCCCTACTCCCATTATTGACGGAATCGGGATCGGTGGACCGATTTCGCTAAAACCTGTCGTCACTAACACGGTTTCTAACATGGAACGATTGTGGGCGTACATGTCGATTAACCAACTGCTGGAAAAGAAGGAGGCTTCCGACGCCGATAAAGAAAAATTGAAGAAACAAGCGTTAGAGCTCGCACTGAAGTATAACTTTGTCACGCCAGTGAGTTCATTAGTCGTCGTAAAACCCAACGACACAAGCGCCGTGGATACAGAAGAAGCGAAGCAAGGTGTAGGGGGACTGCCAGGCCTGCCTTTGGCAGGAGGTGCAGGTGCTCCTTATGGCGCATTTGCGTCATTTGCAGGCCCTCCAGCAGCATTTGCACCTGCTTCTGCTATTTTACATGCACGTCCTAGTTTAGGTGAGATAACACAAACCTTAAGAACACAGAATTAAAGTTCTAACCGCAGATTTTGCAGGAGCAACCTATCGACCAATATTAACCACTTATATGACAACCGCCAAACCAAAGTCACCACTCGAAATGCTCATGGACGCGTTGCCATGGTTAAACGCAATTTTAGACAATGGTTTCATCAAGGCTCCACAAGGTTTGTAAACTATTGAAAGAGGTTGACCTAAATCTGCTGCTTTAGGTTCTTACAAATTAGGTTTAAACGAGACAATATCAGAGAAAGTTACCTGTCCGAAAACGCCTTTCGATCAAGAGGGGCATTGCGCACTTCTACACGAATGCCCACAAGTCCATTCTAAGTTACAAACGTCAACAAACTTTTTCGATCATTTCTGCATTTTAAAGGATGAGTAAGAACAAGACTTGCGTTGTGTAACAAAGCGTTAATTTAACTTGTTTTCAGGTTTGCCGGTATTTGCTGTCCTAATTAGTTTATAATTTTTTAATGTGTGACTTTTTGTATTTTTCCAAAATAATAAATGACTGTACAGTCTAATTTTCCTCTTAGCACTATGGCTGATGGGTGATCCGCTCATGTTTTCTTGTAGTCCGTCCACGTTTCTCAATGCATAAAATTGACGTTGCCCTTGTGCTGACCCCTGGTATTGGGTAAGTCAATAAGGAATCAAGATTTATTGGTTAGAGCTGGTTAAAAGTGGACGTAAGCAAAGACATTGTCCACACATTTGTGATCTGGCAATTAGTGTGTGCACACTAATTTTAAAAATGACTAAGGTATAGTATTCAACCAATTAATAAATTATTTCAGGACACGGTATTCGAACCCATTAAGTAATGTCATTGAATAATTAATTATTCAACGGTAATGTCGTTGAGTGAAAATAGGTACTATTTTTCATTCAGCGGGTAGGGATTCCTGATTATTTTTTGTAAGAATGCTCAATGCGTTAGCAAATCAAGAACTCAAGTAACCCTCAATCTCAAATTTTCTATTTGTTAAGACATTTAAATGACATTTCATAAGTATGCACCTCGATTAAAAGTAAAACTGATGCCGAATCCAAAATTTATTTTGCGCATACGCAATCTTAAATTTTTCATTTGTTGAGATATTTAAAATGAAATTTTGTATGCGGGCACCTCGAGTAAAAGTAATGCCGATTCAAAAAATTTGTTTTACAAGCTATGCTGATCTGGTGGGACAGAATGAACCCCTTAAGGTGTATTGTAAAAATGATGTATGTGTGAAGATCTCGAGGATCGTTCGGTATTCAGTTGTATCGGATGTTTTGCATTAGGTTCCTATCTAATATTGCATGAATCACAATCTCGCAATCCTCCATGAAAAATCATTGCTCCAAACTTCTAGGGTATTAGCATGGTGGGTTTATAGAATCATTATAATTACCTACTATCACTATCATTAAGAAATAGCTAATAGAAAGAAAGGAATGGTTACGTTCGATAGCGATACGTACAATAAACCTTTGTTTCAATTGGCTATTTCTTAATGATCTATTGATGGTGAAGTAATGATAATTATTGTATAAACCCCTTTCCTCCAAAACTTGTTCTGAAGGCATTCAAGAAAATAAAAATTGATTAGTAAAAAGATTTAATTAGTTTGGGCATTTTCAAGTTAAGAAGCTTCCAGATAAGTGTAATTTTAGTAAGGTTTAAGGGGTTTTGTACCAGAAAGGTAACATTTTGTCATCGGTGGGGTCAGAATGGAGAATTATTCGAATATTTGCCTACTAGCATAGTGTAAATCTATTATTTACACTATGCTACTATAGTCATTGTTTGTTTATTTTGTTGTTACTATTATTGTGAATGTTTCTAATAACTTCTCCATTGTACAAATGTTATTTGACACACGGTATAGGTATTCTCAAATTATTAACACTACTGTTAAATAGAAAAGTAATGATCGTATGAAATGGTTACTATACAGAATAAATTGCTTTATGATTTCCCTTTTTTTGTAGTGTGACGTTCGGTTTACGTTACGATACATTACAAAAATGAATTTAAAGTGATGAAAGAATACTGCTGTGATAATTTCGATTTATGTTCAGTTTAATATGCGATTTTGTATGAGTCGGGTGGGTTGTGTACATGAGATCCAATACCGCGTGGTGAGTTTAACTGTTTTGTATGTTTTCTGTCCACCTGCTTATGGTCAACTTGATTACAAATTACCTATTTCATTTGTACGTAGGCACATTTTCGATATTAAATGTATTTTAAGGAGCAAAAATACATGCCCTAGCCTGTCGGTCTGAGGACTACGACTACCAGATCAGGCATCAGTCATATACTAGTATCCAACCAAAACTTATAATGAAAGGAAGGTTGTCTGAAGTTTACAATGTATTTCTTATGGCAATAATTCCATGGCCGATTGTATTTAAAACCAGATTCATTCGTTTATTAATTCGCATAGTAACAATCAACCCCGTCAGGGAATAGTAGTCATAAGAAATACATTGCAAACTTCAAGGTATACATTGCTATACATGGTTCCCAAATAAGTGTGTACTATCAGTGGTTTTGTAATTTTTTTAATATCGAATGACAATACAAATCCAATAGGGTGTCTATAAGAAATAAGAAAGTGATTTATTCGCAACCCACAAGTCATAAAAATTTGATCTCTTTGAAAACGCCAGAGCGCGTGCTCGAAAATTACATTTTTCGTTTTTTTGGCCATAACTTCCCTATTTGTATGGCTACAAAAGGGGCACCATCAGCATACAATTTTGCATAATTTGCATATTTAGACGGTTTACGAGATCCCCATAGTGAAAATGCAAAAAGACTGATCCTGTATATATATCAACTAAGCATTTTTCTCAACTAAATTATAATAATATAAAAATCATATCACATCTACCTGAAATTGAAACTTCATTTAAGCAGCCTTACAACAAGCATACAGTCTGTTTCAAATTAAGTCGGCACTATTGCTAACTTTCTTAGTTGTAGAGTTAGAAAGACGGTTAAATTACCAAAATTTTGTATTTTTTCAACTGAATCCAAATATACAATTAAAACAACAGATCAACTTTCAGGTAACAAAAATGTCACCTGTATATTATTACATCATATGGCGCAGATTATAAAATTTTAATATTTTCATTACGATCGAGTTATAAAATGACGTTTTTCGTTAATATTAGTTCATTGTTCCCAAATTTATCCTCAAGTATTGATATTTGCGTCCTTTAAATTTGAATACAAAACTATAAAGGATCTGAATAACAAACTCGAATAGGGGGTAGGTACATGATCCATTTGGGGAAAGAGAAAATAAGAATTTCATTCAGCTTGCCCTGGAAATAACCACCTTTTTGCAGCTGAATAGGTGCCATAATAGGTAAAATGTTACAGTTCTGCAGAAATTAATCATCTTTTGTTTTTGTTACCTATGTGATTTACTTTTATACATTGAAAACCATATTTCAAGTAATAAATTTATTTATTTAATTTATGCCCCTTTGCTTATGGTTTGAATTTACTTATCTAAAAGTGCGCTTTTAAATAAAATTTGTCCGCCTGTCTGTCTTACAACTGCTACATGTATAAATCATACACGTATCAAGCCAAAACTTATAATGTTAGGGGGTGATCTTCTGCAATTGCTCAGTTGATGCAGAAAGGGGTAAAGTTGGAAATTCAACTACTCCTCGACTATGAGAAGCCATCGTAACATTGAAACTAGAAAATATCTAAAGAATTTCTAAATTATGTAAAAATAACCCAAAAGTATCAAAATCGTTATACCGGGTGAACAAGGGGTGAAAACAAGCATTTTTTCCAAATAAACCGAAGATCCACGTGTTCCGTTTGGAATCCACCCTCAAAAAAGTTGTGAAATTTGCACTTTCTTAAGGGTGGTAGAGTTTTTTTGTTCATCACGTGTATGTACTTTGATAAAAAGGTGTTAAAATTAGCTATTACGGAATACGGACTAATCTCGGCGAGCAAATTCATGCATGAACTCGATCCTAAGGGCTAAATTTGATGTATTATTTTCACGTGCAACCGTATCAATATGCACAATTTTAGAAAAAAATATCTTATACGGATTGAAAACTGTCGCTATAAATACAGGGTGGCCAAGTGAAAATGACCACATTTGAAATGATTGCCATGCGCTTAATATTAAAGTCGAAAAATTAAAATAAAAAGCATTTCGTTTATTTTCCATAAATAAGGTTTTCAAGTATGGAAGATGATATCCGACATTGAGGTCCTTGTAAGCAACCCACCCTTCGAGACGCTCGGAAAAGTTGCCTTCTGTGCAACTGTGGTGGAGAGGTGATCGAACAGTGGGGAACGCTCAAGTTCTCTTCTCCTTTCATCTTGTTCTCTGGTATGGGAAGTTTAGTTTCCGTGATGGTTTGCTCGATCCGGTCCCCTCCAAAATTGCACAGAACGCAACTTTGTCGAGCGTTTCAAAGAATGTGTTGCTAATCAAGGACGTCATTTGGCAGATATCATCTTCTATACTAGAAAACCTTATTTATGGAAAATAAACTTCCACATTTTTTCTACGAAATGCATTTTATTTTAATTACTTGGCGCATGGCAACCATTTCAAAAGTGGTCATTTGCCATCCTGTATCGCTAGGTCCAAAGCTTTTTCAACAGAGAACAAACTGAGTAGCCTTCCCCTCAATTCCTGTATTTTTGAAATCCTGGTTGCCTTGGAGATTTCAGAGACCTCTGAAGCTATCGACGCTCTGGTAGCGCTATACTATAAATGTTTAGGAGTTATATAGAAACATCAACCTCAGAAACTTAGGAACTTAGGTTTATTATATTTTATTGTGTCATTGGAAAATGAAATGGCTCATTATGAAAATTAGTTGGGCAATAGGTAAAGCTTTTATTTTGTGCAGTGATAAAATCAACTGAAAAATAATAATGTGATTTGGCGTGCGTGCTACTTCATGACAATGCAGCACATTTCCTGCGATTTTACGATTTTAATACCCTTGAATACCAAATTTTGCCGGCATACATTTTCACTCACTTTATCAAATTGTAGAAAATTGAAAAGGGGATGCAGAAAAATGACCCCTTTAAGTCTTTTTGTGTAATGAAAAAAATAAACAAGCTCGTTTACAAACGACTTACAAAAAGCGCCTTTATAAGAACGTTGCCTTTGTCCAACGGAATCGGGAGTAGTAGTACTGTTTTGGTAAAAAAATCAGTAAATAGGTTAACTTGGATCATATTCTCATTCAAGACATAATTTTAAATAGTTGTTGACCATTTTTCAACCATTAAATTTTTTTGAAAACGCACAGGGTGTTCCTAAATATGATCTAAATACGGCAGGGGCTAATTATTTGGCTTATTTTATTACCCAAATTTCATATAAACATAGGTCCACAAACGCTTTTTTACTGATCTACATGCTTAAAGTTTTTAGCGCATTTTCGAAAAAATATTTCGACTGGCTGTTCGGCTGAGATCTCAGCAATTACAATAGCTAGAGACTTCAAATTTTCACTAAATGCTTTCTCCTATACTGTAGATGTGCAGGCTCTAGTCTATTTTGAGTTAGATTACTCGTGAGATTGATAATTTTAAACTTCGCTAATAAAATACTGATCTGTATTACCAAAAATGTGCTTTAATCATGAATATGCTTATAAATTAAAAAGTGTACCGGTAGAACTTTAACACTCTGTAGACCAATAACAAAGTGTGAACATGTGAACGTGTGAACATCCTGTATAATCAAAAGGTAGGGATCTAACGGTCGATACAGGCAATGGAATTTTCTTCATGTAACTCTTTAGGAAATGCCCTACAAATTCCATGATTCGTGATCAATGTATTTATTTGGGATTAAATTGGGGGACCTTTTCATAGTCGATATGTACATAAAATACTAGGGATAATCACACGAATGTAATTCGCCTAACTTTGTGGTGGATAAAAAAGGAATTAGATTGGACAACAAACACCTGCAAATCTAGAACGATAAGAATTAATATTTTGACTGGTAAATTAAATATCCGTACTCATTCCTCAAGACGCAGAAGTGATCGTAGTACTCAGTTTCGGTTCGCAGCACGGCTTGGAGGCACTCATGAAGTAACGTGCATCGCCCCGCTTGAGTGTTGGGTGCTTTTGGACATGGAACGTCTTCGGTCACGGTTTCGTTGAGACCTAACTTGTAGGAACCTACAGGAGAAAATCATAGCTGCGGTTTATGAGAGATTGATGAATAACCTGCAGGCACATTGACCAGTCCATCCCGAAGTATGTTTCTAAGCCAGTTAAAGCTTCGTAATAGCTGACTTATAGTAGCTCTTTTAGGTTGGGAACTAACCGAATGCCCCGATACTCTTGATACTGTCTGACCAAAGTTTGAAGATCTTGGACCTGTACTTTTAGTTGTAGAGGAATGCAACAGAAAAATAACTTGCTTACCCACTGTTGGCACATGCGGACCTTTGGCCTCCACAATGTCTATTTCCTTGGCATCATTCGGTTTGACTACTACCAATGAGCTAACTGGTGTAACAAAACTGTACTTAAGAGCAATGTCTAATGCGTTCTTCTTCAATTGAGCTTTATCGCCATACGAAATATCCGCCTTTTGAAGTAACTGTTTGATGGTTAAATAAGCCCAAATTCTTTCCATGTTGGATGAGGTCGTTGTAGTTACATCTGGTTTAAGCGAAATTAGCCCGTTTGCCCCAGTACCTTCAATTGTTGGAGGATGAAAATTTGTCCCGTAATAACCGGCTACTACAATTTCGGAGCCCCCAAAGTGTATAGGAAATTGACTTTTGGTAACATGAGTCGACTCATATTTAAAATTAACGTTTACTAGTAATGGAGAAGAAACCAATCGGTAGAAGCCTTCAAGCTGTAGTGCTGCGTCGCCGGCGTCGTAAATGTGTTTGGCAAATCCCGAGTTGCGTGAAGCAAATCGTTGCAAAAAGCCTTTATCGGCGCCATCGCCGAAAGATAAAGCGAAAATTGACGTCCTTCTTGTTCCCACGTTAAATTCACTTATCTACAGAGATCAGTTAGTGATTCTAGTTTAAAGGGTAGGTAATAATACCTTGGAAGTTATTTGTTCAGTGCTTGCGTCTGTGGGTTGCCCATCTGTCAAAAATATAACTATTGGTTGACGCTGAATGTCATTAGCATTACGTTGCCTGTTTCTTTCCAACTCGACTAGTCGCAAAGCAACTTGTAAACTTCCATACATGCTCGTTGAACCGTGGGCAGTTAGCTGAGAAATTGCCCCCTTTGCTTTTCTAATGAAATTCGCATTAGCTGGAAAAGCATTCGGAAATACATCATTCTAAAAGTGATTCGATAAAAAGCCGCGCATGGATAATGGCCTATCGTACCGATGTAAAGATGTCTTGGTACTGTCGGAAATTCGAACGTGGATACCACCTGCTACTTTGCGGACGGTTCAAATCCCACACCTTAGTCTTGGTATTAAATTCCACCAAACTGAACGTGTCGCTGTGGTGCAATTGGTCGACAATGTTGTTCATCGCTTGAATGAGCTGTTGTATCTTTTGCCCCCACATGCTGCCACTTGTGTCTAACACGAAAACTACGTGCTTCGGTAGTGGTTCCAAATTTGTCGGTGCAAAGAAGTGGACAAAGTACCCATCTTGAATCAGTACCTCTCCACCACTTGGGTCCCTCTCAACGTCATACTGTACTATGAATTGTCCGGACATTCCGTCCGAATTTCTCGCCTTAAATGCAATAGCGAACTCCTTCTGTCGTTCAATAACTGGTGTAAACGTCACCACAGCTGTGGTATCATTGATTATCTTTATATCGGCGCGTGGGTCCAGTTCCGGTCTGTACATGCCGATTTCATTTCCGGAACGTAGGGGCGGAGTCTTTACTGCCGTAATTTTTCTGCTTTCGGCAATTGTAACTTTGACGCTAAGATCATTAACGAGTTGGCCTGGATGGATGTTGATAATCTGCTCGTAATAACCATCTTTGCGGTCTAAAAGTTCTTCGTATGTCAAATAAAAAGCAGCTTTTGATCTTGGTTGAATATTTACGGAGATCACGAACCGGGTAGAGTCACGCGCACTGACTTCCACGTGAGCTGCACCAAGACCTCTGGCCAATGCCTAGATTATAACAGACACTAAAATCTTCTGAGTTTCTCATGCTTTACCTGTTCGTAGGCTAGCTTAGCCTCCTCCTTCTCCTTGACATAGGCTGTGTAATTTTTGCCTTCGACTTCCATAATAAAACCGGACACGTAGGCGGCTTCTGGTAGTACTACAAGAAACGCGGCTTCCTGGGCTCGGTTTAGGGAATTTTTAACTCTGCTTGTTACGGTTGTATGTGCGAAGCGGTTACGGATATCGGACGTTATAATCATTTGGTATATCTCTGGAACGGTTGATGTAGTTGAAGCGCTATTGCCCTACAGTTTAAATACATATATTTATCCGGCGTTTAGGTGAGGACATTTACCCAACCCCGCTCCTCAAATGGACTCACAACTAGAGCGCCATGTATGTTTGAAACCATGGCACTGATACATGTAATTGTAACGAGCAGTACTCGGTCCATCCTGTGAGAAATAGAAATTTCTTGATATTACCAAAGAGTATACGTATACTCTTTGATATTAACTAAAACCATATATGGCACACTTGATAAATGAATAAGTAGCTATATTTTCAATAAGGTTATAGATAATTTGTGTAACAAAGAATTGTTGCTACTTAGAACTTAGTGAAAAGTAAGGGAGCTTACCTTTAATTTTCTATCCAATGCCTTTACCGATTCGTGCTTGTCAGTGCGGGATAATTAACTAAGTAGACAATTAATTAATGAAACTACGAGTTTTACTGTGACTTTCCCACTCAAATTTAAATTGCGCATCGTTATCAGTTAACTTTATATCATTACCATAGGCGCATCAGTTGAACTTTTAGAAATGGCGTGAATGATTTACACACAGCAGGCAGGTTTTCTCAATTGACTTACATTTTTATCAAAGGGAGTACCTACGGAATTTTGGAAATAGTTAAGTAACCTGATCACATGACTCTTTTTGAGAAAGAAAAAGAAAAAAGACAAGAACCATTTTTCTTATTGTTGGTTCTACTTTTATTTATCAAAATTAAATGTGTGTGTTTACTCTAAACTCTATACCTACACCAACGGCGCCTATGAATATATGTATTGCAAAAAATATTAAAATACATTAATGTAATAATCAAGAACGAGTTGTTATTACAAGTGGTTATCGAAAGTTGTAATCGCATCACACAGTTATTTATAAAATGTTGACAGTTTGGGAATTTTAAACCTTTGCTTTGCGGAGGGTCAATTATTACAAAAGAAATTTGAGCTTTGTTGATTAATTGTGGACAGAAATACAAAATTAGGGCGAAAGATTGAATATATTGACGGAATAAAATAGATCCAAATTTTGAACTCTTACATTCTTTACTTATTTATATATGTATTTGTTATGTTTACATTTGAAATCAACCCCTAATATTGTAGCCACATTCTTTTCTAAATACTCCTATTTAAATATCAATGAACAATGACATATGGTATTTTTTTCAAAAAGAATACACACGTTATGGCTAACAAAGTTGAACATTCTCATTGCAACTCTCCTTAATTTCACAGTTTCACAGTTTTTAGTGAATACTCTCAATAATTGTTTACGCTATTTTCTTAAAGAGAGCAAATAATTACTTTTATACAAATCAAGAAAACATTACAGTACTAATATACATATAGTGTGATTTTGAAACGATGGTTTCACAAACTTCAAAATTCACCAATGAATCATTGATAATGAAACTTGGAAGACATTGCCATTGGTCATCGGTCTGTACTCGGGTCTGTGTTTACTGTCTCCTGTCAAGTAACTTTCGTTGTCACAATACAAACTTCCAAAAAAAACAGCAACTGGATTAAATTGTTCCGGGCTACTTTAGCTTTCGAATGGGAAAAATTTTACAGACTGAAAAGTATCACTCTAGCTTTGCACGGGAGCGATTAAAGACGATTTTCCCCTAACTTTCATAATAATCGGTTCAAACGAAACGTACGATGAATTTATTCTTTGAATGATACTAAATCATCAAATTGTATTAAGTCTGGTGGAATGTTAAGAACGAGGTTAAGAAAAAGTTTGTAAGCAGGTTGATGGAATTGCCTTTCCTATGTATTTTAACAGTAAAGCTAAGAGTAAAATAAAGACTCGCGTTTTGAATCACGCTAGAATGCCATATAAATGTATATGGACGAAAATCAGAAGATGTTAAGTGCTGTTTAAGAATGCAACTTAATATTTAGAACTTTAATTGCGGCTAACTTGAATGAGTACGTTCACACTTTAACCATTTCTCAATTTGTGGTTACTATGACAAATTATATAATAAACAACCCTTTACTTGGTTTTATTCACATATATTAATATATAATTGAAAATCTATGGAACATCTTTGATTCAGGAGGTCCACAATTTAAAAATACAAAATTTTACACTTTTTCCGACTCCTTTAAGATCTCTCGTCTAAAATGTTATTAGTAAGCTTGCAACAGATCAATATTTACCTTTGACGATGGATTTTAAAGTTATCGAGTAAATTTGACGAAATACATAAATACAACTAACATTTTTATTTACAATTTTCCTTCGACGTGGGTGATCTGGAATTTTTACTTGTAACCTTTTTACTAGTCAATCTGTGGTAGATATCAGATGATTTCTAAAGGGCTGCATACTTAAACGCCACGGACTTATTGCTAGAATATTTATTGCTAACGATGTACTTTAGCTGTTGTTTTGCGGCGTAGCACCTTTCAGCATCTGGTGGATTTTATAGAAAAACTTTAAATACATATCGCAAACCAAGAGCCAAGAGTCTAACCCAATTGCAGTGGACAACGCTTTTCTAAGTGTATGCATCGATATAGTTTTTGCCCGCCCATTGGAATCAGGTTTTTGCTATATGGTATGGTGCTTCTGTCTTTCAGTTATGCAATTTCTTCACAGATCAAAAGCAAAGATGAGGAGGAGGTTTTCTATCTACACCCTAGTAATTACAACATTTATGACCGTCGTACAGTTCAATTTTTTGTAAATATCATTTCCAATTATACAGAAGGAGTAGTTTAAAACTTTTTGTGATTTTATTAAAAAATAGATACTTATTTTATGTATTACACTTCATTGGTATATAAATTACGTTGGACAGCAGACTCCGGCAAACCTAGAACAATGAGCAATTATTTATCTTGATAGATTAATAAATTAACAAAGTACTTACTCATTTCGCAAGACGCAGAAATGGTCATAATACTCAGTTACTGATGGTAAGACAGCTTGGTGACATTCGTGAAGTAACTTGCATCTTCCTTCTTGGTTATTAGTTGCTTTCAGGCATGGAACGTTGTCGGTGATGGTTTCGTTAACACCCAACTTGAAGAAACCTAGAGGTATATGGAAATTGTTGTTTGTTCTTGAGCATGGTTTTACTTACCTGTAGGTCCCTTCACCATACCATTCGTGAGTATGTCTCTAAGCCAAGGAAGCTTTTGTAACAATTGGTGTAGGGACGAAGTAGTAAGATGAAACGGTTCCACTCGGCCGTCAGGCGTGTCTATGTTAGTTCAGGTTAACAATTTGTCATTATGGTTAAGAGCAGTTATTACCTTTAACTTGTGGAACCCCGCCTATAATATTTATATGATGTGCACTTTGCCCACTTGGTGAAGGTCGCGGTATTCCTGGGTAGCTTGCTGGTGCAACACTCATGGGTCTTCCTGAAAGTAGTATACCTACTTTACATTAATTTAAAGCTCCTGTAAAATGAAAAATGCTCATTACCTCCAAAGAACGGTTTGCTAGCATGATAAGATGTTCCTAAAAGAAATTAAAAATGTAAAGATAACTCTAGTATTTGTGTTATAATGCATACTTTGTGCAACGTGACCCCAATGAGGTCCGGAGATTCTTGATGCCGTACTTCCAAACGTTGAAATTCCTCGTAAACCTAAGCAAATCTTACTTGAAAAGAATGTGTACAAGGAAACGTCTACGTACCTAGGCCTTGCGTTGGAACAGGTTGACGCTCGGCGTCTTCGGTATTCACTGCATTGGTTTCATTCGGTTTGACTACCACTAATGAACTGACCGGTGTAACAAAGCTGTACTTGAGAGCTAAATCTAAAGCTTTCTTTTTCCGTTGATTTTCCTCGCCTTCTGACGTCTCCTTCTTTTCGAGTAATTGTTTAATGCTCAGATATGCCCAAATTCTTTCCATATTTGAAGTTGTCGTTGTAGTTACGACAGGTTTAAGAGAAATTCGCCCTCGTCTTCCAATACCGTCAATGACTGGAGTTGGAAATCTGGCACCGCAATAACCGGCAACTACAATTTCGGACCCTTTAAAGTGTATGGGAAATTGTGTGTTGGTAATATTAGCGGCGACGGTCGATTCGTATTTGAAGGTAACGTCTGACAATAATGGGGATGAAACTAATTGGTAGAAGTCCTGAAGTTGTAGGGAGGCGTCGTCTGCTTCGTAGATGTGTTTCGAAAATCCAAAGTTCCGCGAGGCTAACTTTTGCAAGAAGTTCTTGTCAGCGCCATTACCGAAGGATAACGAGAAAATTGGCGCTCTTTTTGCTTCAGAGTTAAATTCGCTTATCTGCAACAGGGCGATTTCAGTGAACTTGCTTTGAGGGATAATCTGCATTTACCTTGGAAGTGATATCTTCGGTGGTTGCATCTGTGGGGTCTCCATCGGTTAAAAATATAACTATTGGCTGACGTCTTAAGTCGTTAGAATCGCGTTGTCTATTTCTCTCCAACTCGACCAATCGTAAGGCAACTTGCAAAGCTCCAAACATGGCCGTTGAGCCTTGAGCAACTAATTTGGAGACTGCCGCTTTAGCCTTGCGGATTACATCTGAATTTGCTGGGAAAGCACTTGGAAATGAAGCATTCTGAAAACGATTCAATATGAGTTTCTACAAAGCATAACAATTAGACTCACCTCTAACGGTACCGATGTTTGTCCAATGTGTTCATAATATCGACTGTTTGCACGTGGATACCACGTGCTTTTTTCTGGATTATCCAGGTCCCACACCTTTGTGTTGCTGTTAAATTCCACTAAACTGATCAAGTCACTTTCGTTCAGTTGATCGACAATGCTGTTCATCGCTTGAATAAGTTGCTGTATCTTTTGCCCCCACATGCTACCACTGGTGTCTAGCACAAAAACTACATGCTTCGGTAGAGGGTCTAATTCTTTCGGGGCGAAGAAATGTACAAAGTATCCATCTTCAATCAGAACCTCTCCACCACTCGGATCTCGCTCAACATCGTACTGCACTACAAATTGTCCAGAAAGACCGTTCTCTTCTTTCGTTCCGAGTACACGTGCGAACTCCTTTTGCCGTTCGACATTTGGACTAAACTTGACAACTGCCGCGGTATCATTGAATATTTCTATATCGGCTCTTGGATCGAGTTCTGGCTTGTCGGTCCCGATTTCGTTTCCTGAACGTAGAGGTGGCGCCTTTAAGTCGGTAATTTTCCTACTTTCCGCAATTACAACTTCGACACTAAGATCTTTAACGGGCTGGCCCGGATGGATATTAATAACCTGCTCGTAGTGACTGTCTTTACGATCCAAAAGCTGCTCGTATGTCAAGTAGAAGACTGCCTTTGACTCTGGTTGGATATTTACGGATACCACGAATCGATTGGAATCACGCGCGCTGACTGCCACATGGGCCGCACCCATACCACTCGCTACCGCCTAAATTGCGTTTATTTACAAAAATGTCACTGATACGAATGTTCCTCTTACCTGGTCATAAACGCGCTTAGCCTCCTCTTTCTCCTTAACGTAAGCTGTATAATTTTTTCCATCAATTTCCATAATAAAACCGGAAATGAAGGCGGTTTCTGGTAGGATTACTGAGAAGACGGCCTCCTGAGGATTGTCTGCCGAATTTCTAACTCTGCTTACGATAGTTGTATGGGCGAAGCGATTGCGGATACTAGATGTGATGCGCATTTGATAGATCTCGGGGACGGTCGTATTCGGAGTATTTTTGCCCTAGGAAAGTACCGTACAACTATGCGCCGAGCCAAAGACGAAGAAATAAATACCTCTTTATCACCACCCTCATAAGAAGAACTCACAACTAGAGCTCCATTAATGTGTGACACCATGGCACACAACCATATTGTCGCGATAAGCAGCATTCTGGCTTTTGGATGATCTTAAAAATGATTCTTAAAAAAAAGGTATATCACTTAAAGCTATACTATTTCAAACACAAGTAAACTATCCCAAGTGACGATGGTATGGAATGAGTCTAACTGTAAAAGGTCTTACCGTTGCCGAAGAATCTTAATTTTCACAGTGAAACAACTAACTGAGTATAAACTTCATTTAAGGAAGGTTTAATTTATATTCTAATTATCCCACCATAATTACTAAAAGTATGCACGCAAGCTTGATTACAAGAAATGAATAGTGTAATCGGTTATCAATTTAAATGTAATTACCCAACAAAATCTTGGAATGAAATAAATTTAGCCAAACCTACAGTGAATGTTATTGAAAAGCGACTTATCTATACCAGTCAGTTTATTTATAAAACTGTTTATAGAAGACGACACATGTTTGATATTGATAATATAATTAGTACGAATTAATGAATTTTTGCTTAACGTTTACGTACTTTTCAGTAAATTTTGGAAACCGTGCGTACTTACTACTTAGGTTCTTGTATTCTGGTTTTCCCTTCGGATCAATGCTTTACGATAAAATTAGCATCTTTTATAATACATACTTTTTGAACAAGGTTCATTTTCCTGGACTCTGAAAATTCTCCATCTCTTAACGTCCAGAATGATGTATACCTCGCATTTGGGAATTTTTCATAGACAAATTACCTTTTTATTGTCTATGGGGATTATGTAACTGCGAGGTATGCAAAATGTCAACATTCATTCTTATCGATGCTTAGTGAACTATAACACAATGCATTCTGTTTCTTTACACTATGCTTAAATATGAGTTTTGAAGACAATTTTTTGTGTCATTTAGCAGTAGCAACAAATTCATTCATACCTATTTTGTGCTAATTTTGGAGACATAAATGATACCGAATCAATGTTCTGGAATTCCCAATAATAACAATTTTGTTTGGGTGATTTCAGTGTAATGTGTAATGTATTTTTTTAAATGCTTTGTGTACAGAAGAACATTAAAGTTGACAACTGCATATTTTTTTCAAAAATTGTAATGCTACGCTAGTTTAATTTGTTCAATATGATTGCAACAAACGGATCTAATGAATTTGCTAGTGAATAGATACTTCTACTCGATTAGAATTAGTTGCTGTTAACAGATACAGTCTTCTAACATTTGAAAATGAAGGAATGAACAGTATAGAAGATTCAAAAATGTTTAGATCAACCAAATGGAACATTTTTAAGGCAACTAAAACAAAGATTCGTGTACCTATTCATCTGTTAAAACTAGAATCATTTTTTGCGTTTATTGGGAACGGTTTGACCTATTGTTTGAAATGTGTACACCTCCTATCACCATATAATCAGTACCTACACGTATTTTCTAGTACTAAAATTAACGTGAATGTGAAATAGACACGACACGTATTTTATTTCAACGTATTCAGGAGGCGACGCTGGTCCATCCGAATAAGATTACATAAAAATGGAGCGAAATTTGGACCCATTCAAGACACTTTACCGTGTTTTTCCATCGTTCATTTTTTATACCTTCATTTTAGACAAACTGGTAGCACTTACTTCATCATACATCTCTTAAATTTTACATTTTGTTTTTTTTTATAATCGTGTCATTTTAATCCTGCAATTGTGTCTTGTTTGTCTCTTATATGTAGGTATAGTGTCGTATATTATTTATGTTAAATTTATATACAAACCCTGACAAGTGTAAAGACTGTACGGTCTCTCAGCACAATAAATCAATCAATCAATCAATCAATCATACAGTATAATCGAAGGTATTTGCTGGAAACAATGAATATTGCATTTTTGTGTAAGAATTCTTACAGTGTGTGTTTTATTTACTATCTGATACCTCTAACGCCCATTTTGGAGGTATACCATTGCCGTAATATTAACATCAGTGCATACTTATTACACAAAGGGATCAAATATTTTTACTATTGCATAAAGATTTATGCTTTGTAATACTTTAACTTGAACCGAGTACAAAAATATCACTTTTGGAATCCCTTGTTAAAATTGTTTTGATTGGCTTCAGCAATAGGGAGGTCTCATACTTCTGTTTTACTTATAATTCGGAAGGCTTAATTACTCACTAACACGTGGCACAAGTAAAAAAATTGGAAAAATTAATTAGCGGAGTAATGGGCAAAATCATTTCGTGATTAGAAGATTTGAAAGAGGCTACCTCGGGACTAGGCTAGCGTTGTGACTTCAGCTGCACTCTAAACTCAGGCAAGTTCTGGATTTTTATTTTTATTTCTTTAAAAATGCACCGATTTTGATGAAATTTTTATGAGACGTTCTCTAAGCATCGATTTTGGAAAAATGACTTCTGGAAAGCGTTGCCGTCGAGATGCTCGTCGAGACCGTTCGATGCAGAGTGTCGAAGTTGAATCCGGCGACCTCGAGATTTGGTTCCAAAAGATTGTTCATAAATGGTTTGCGGTTTGCGAAAGTTTCGAAATAGTATAAGTAGGTACCTACTGTGTATTGTTGCGAGGATTATTTTGATGTGAGCTTCTATTTCATTTTATTGAATATTGAAGTAGGTATATGGGAACATTTTTCAGTTAACCGAGGATGTGGAAAATTACATTTGAGCAAAGTAAATGCCAGACTGGAGCCATATATAGTGCCGCGTTTATTTTCTTGTCAAGCCGATAAGAAGTTCACTGCAATTAATTTTGTAGACATAAATAACACCTAATCAATATTAGCTGGTTCAATTATAAATAAAAACAGATTTTCTAGATCTGACTCTATAATGCTCTAGAAGCTTTTCTTTTCCTATATAAGCGAATTTAATGGTGTTTGGTAGAATTAAGTTCCAAACTCGATGCCGAGAGTGATAAATAGCGAAATTTGTGCCTGTGTTATAAAATTGAGTACCTACAAGTGATAAATAATAAATTAATTGTTCTAAATCAATCTATTTAAGAACCGTTATAAATTCGTACATACATGAATCGGGTAATTAAATGTACGTTACGTCATTCACCCCCAAGGGAATTCGCGAGCTAATTGTAAACTACTCTTTCATTATATTCTAGAAACAATCAATCATGAGCTATATATTTTAAAAATCCTACTTCATTTCTCCTCTCTATCCGGTTTACGAGATCAACCCTTACGGCAAAATTTTGAAATGGCACTCGCTCTCAATAAAAGCGAGAATTTTGATTGATCCAATGTTGTGTTAAACCTGCAAGAGAGAGACAGAGAGGACGAAGGAGAACCGTAAAATACCGGTCCTTTGGCATTAATAACGGTACCGGTATCGGTTCCCGTTGATAAATGCAATCGGTTCCGGTTCTTTTCAGTTCTACACCAACTCCTGGCCCGTTTAATAATGACTATTTTCATTTATAAGTACGAAAATAAATCTCGCACTAGCATTAAAAAATAAAGTCCTCAATTTATCACATTATTTTTACCAACAAAAGATCTTCAAACTTTGCCAGAGAAAATGTATTTTAAAAACTACGCAACCACATCTCTACAATCAACAACTTTATCAATGAGGTATCGAAGAGATTGAAAGACGTTTCTTTCATAACGCCAATTAAAACCGTTAAATAGATTTAAACTTTAATGAATAAAAAATATATAAAACAGTAGAGCTTATATTTTTTTTTCTTCAGGAAACATGCCGAACACTTTACGTGGGGCAGCAAACACCAGCAAACCTGAAATAAAGACGAATTAGCAAAACTGGATAATATTGGATATTATGAACTCGTACTCGTTTTTCAAGACACAGAAGTGATCATAGAAATCAGTCACCGTTGGAAGTACTGCTTGATGGCAATTGTGAAGTAACTTGCACTGTCCAGGTTGGTTATTGGTTGCTTTTGGACATGCTACATAGGGAATGGTTTCATTGAGTCCCAACTTGTACGACCCTAAATTTGAAGATTAGTAAATTTGTGTTTAACTGATTAATGAGCTACTAACCTATAGGTGTCTTTACCATCCCGTCCTGAAGAATGTTGGCCAGCCAGGAGAAAGTTTGTAGCAGACTGCTTAACAGCACCTCGGAGGGATCCAGGGAGGGAGCTAAAGATTCTGTTAATATTAGATGTGCTGTGTGCACAGCTGGGATGATTACTCAAAAAAAGTAATCGAATACATTTATACATTTTATACATTTAATTACAGTAATTGATTAGGTACTTCAGAAAATTGGTATTCAATTACTGATTACAATTGTAATCGTTTACTTTAGCATTGTAAGTACAATGACTTTTATTTTTTAATTTAGGTAGATCTTACACGTATCCATATTGTTTAAAGTTCGTTGGATTGCATTGTTATTTTAAAGATGTTTCGATAAAACCAGATATTCCATAAGCAAGTTAAAGATCTATAGTAACCGAGCACTTGGAAGTACAATTTGGAATATAATATGTAGGTATACATGCTTCACCGAATTTTTACTAAAGATGGGCGAAATTGCAAAGTAGTTCATCCACCAATAGAATCAAAACAAATAAGTACAACAAACGCAGAGGTAGATAACCAAATTGCTCCATTGTAATCATTGTTACCTTAGTATTCGTGATTACTTTTGTATTCATATGATTGCCATATGATTACTAATTACGATTAGGTACTATTGAGAAAAGCAATTAAATTACAATACTAATTACAGTAGGTACTTAGTTACTGATTACGGATTACACAGAAAGTAATTAAATACTGTAATTAATTACAATTGTAATCGATTACTTCCTAGCTCTGGCTGTGGGAGTGAACTGTTAATAAATTCTTTGTGAACAATGAAAGAAAAATGTTTCTTACACGGACCAATTGAAATTGGTTCAGGAAGTGCAAGTGGCAGCGTGTCGTGACGATAGCCGGGTGGTCCTGGCCGTCCTGCTGACATCCCATAATGAGAACCAAAACCTGGTGGTCCTGCTATGCCTGGTAGACCAGGTAGTCCTATTGGTACTCCTGCTTGCATACCGTAATGCGCAGTGCCTCCAAAACCTACTAGAAATGTTAAGCAAAAAA